ACAAATAGCTATAATTAGTTAGCTGCCTACTTACTTACTAATTTGTTCACACAGCTAAAGTAACCTGCCTGCAGAGAAATGTATGCACAACTCTGGGAGAACAGGAGTGAGAGGTGCTTCTCATCTTGACTTTGTCTGCGCTTCTGCGTCTGCTCTGTGCCAAACAGGTCCTTAGATATTCAAGTGAGAGAACTGGAATGGGAAAACGGTGTTTTCCCAGGCCAGACTTAAAAGCTGCTCGCACCTGCAGACGAGGAAATAGGAAAGTCAACTTTTGAAAAATCTGATTCAGCTTATACCTTGTCTTGCTGATCAGTTGGGTCTTTGATGTTACTTTCCTTTTTTTCAGTTTCTTCATCTGAGTTTTGGCTATTTTCTTGTTTTTCCTTTTTTTGCCCACTATAGAGACACTTGATGTCATTGTCCGCAATGAAATGAAATTAAAACAACTTGTCTGAAATCATTGTAATGTTTTTAATCTCTGACAAATGAGTGATCTTTCAAAATTGTCAGCAGTTTCAAATTTCAATCTAAATTCATGTGCATGATACAAATACGTTTGCTGTTATTTGTGCAGTGTTAAAAGGCTACTCAGCAGCATGAGGTACAGAAGAGTTTTTAAGCATGAGATGTTGAAAGTGGAATTATTTATACATTTGTATTTATTTACAAAATATCGTGGCATATTCCTGTTTTCATACAGCTTTGTTTTGCAAGAGTCCTCCAGACAGGTGTGCCTATGCATTGGCATAAATCTTTTAATCTGCAGATCCAATTTCTACAAAAGGGACGAAGTTGTGCTGCAAGTATTTGCTTTATTTCTTGTTTCTTTTCCTTGCTTACAGCAAATGGTACTTCTCAGCTTGACTCTTCCATCCGTCTTTGTTGGTGTCACTGAATAAGAGGATATTCATGCATTCCTAGAAAACAGTAGAATTTCTTTTTGTCCCTTGTCTGACCAATGGGATATTGCTTAAAATTTGAGTCTGGCTTTCTGAATTTTAGAGAGTATTGTATTTGTTGCTAGCTAAGAGGACTTTTGGCTGCTTTACGGCTTCTCAAAGACTTTGCTGAGTTCTGCAGTCTTAGTGCTTCACCCTCAGTTCGCCACATCGACTGAAAAACAGTCCCAGCTCACATTAGCCTGCAGAAAGGCTTGGTGTTCAGTACAGAGTGGGTTTCGATGCTTTTTATTCCTCCTCTTAGTTTCCTGTTGCTTCTTTAATTTCTTTTGTCTGTTAGTGTCCAGATTTACGGCCAGCATTTGTTAGTGCATGGAGCTGAGGTGCTGTGTGAGCTGTCTGTATCCCAAGCCTCTTCCTCTACAGAATGGGAGGCAGCAAGATGTGCTGGCGTTCACAGTTCCAAAACAGATCAGCACCTTTCCCAGCTGGGTTTGAAAGGTAGAAAAGCTGCACCCAGATAGAGATGGCTCTGGACAAGAAGTGAATGAAGGCTGCTGGTGGTTAATGGTTGATGTGGGACATATTTGTTGCAAAGCTGTTATAGGCACAAAAAAATTGTATTGAAAGGGATCTATCTAAAAATCATATGCTCAATAACTATTGGCACTTTGTTGTTGTTTGGATGGAAATCTGTTTAGCCAATTCTGCTTCTGGGAGCACCCTATCATTTCTACCAATCCCTGAAGAGGGCTTAGGTTTCACCATGAGACTATTTCAATGGGACCAGGTGGTGCAGGAAAGATCTTCTCTAGAAGCCGTCAGCAGCGCCAAACCAGTCACGTTTTTAATAATCTTGAAATACATGGGAGTACTAAGCTAAGGTACCTGCTCACTCTTCCAATCCTTTCAGCACACATCAAAAAAAGAGACTAACACTAGACAGAGGTGTCTAATCAAAACACTACCAGAAGCTGCCATTTGGCAGCATCACGAGGTGGTACCTGGCAACATTAATCCTCAAAGAGCAGTCAGTAAAGTCCTATCAGTGATCTAGTTGTCTGAGTGATTGGCTTTGAGGGGGGCTGCTTCCCTCCTGGCTGCGTAACGGAGGATCAATGGCAGTGTGCACAGGGTCGGGGTGTCATGCCCAAACGCAAGCTGCAAATACACGCACAGGAGGTCGGTGCCCTGGGAGACTCCTCCAGGTTTAGACGCTGCCTTTCAACCAGGCTGCAGTTCTTTCCCCCTCCTCCTTTTGAAAATAGAGGACGTTGCAATGTTTCGTTGCTTTCCCTTTGGCTTTGCAGCTGCTTAAAAAGTTGCCTGGGAAGACAAGCATGTGTGTGTGCGGAGGGGGCAATTCCAAGAGGAGGGTCTCTAGTAATGAGGCGTCGTATCTGCCCAGCTAGGTGAGAGCTGGGCAGGTTTGTTATGACATAACTCTTCGGGGGGGTTGGGGAAAAGAC